TATATATATATATATATATATATATATATATATATATATATATATATGAGAAGTGAGAGAAAATACCGTCGATTACGTTATTCCATTTTGGAAATTGCACGCGCCATTGCACAGTTACTCGAGCCTGCTTATACGGTAAAGTGCGGTTGATAGGCAGGGCCTTTATATTGTACGATGTCCCGACCTTTTGGGAAGGGTTCCATCGCATCGCTCAGGCTTACGCCTCGCAACGACCTTATTAGACAACCCTGATTTGTGCCCTCCGGTAAATGCTCGGCATTTCCTAGTAGGCTGAGAATTTACCCGTGAATCGGCACTGTGTTCCCACGATACGCTCCAAAGAAATCCGCACGTAAGATTCGTGCAGCCCGAACTAATCTTACGTGTTCACGTTCGAGACACGATATTAGATTTTGCATGCCAAACTGTCTGGCCTTCGTACTTCCTACACGTGTTATGCAAATCCGGAGATTACACGAAATAACAGAACACCGCGTTCACGACAGCCTCGAGAAACACTTTTTCACGCCCTTGTATCGGATGTTCTGCTTACTTACTAGCGGGAAAAGAAGGGGAAAAAAAAAAACAGAGGAACGAAGGCAAGTAAAAAAGAAAAACGTTTGGGGTTAGGTTTCGAAACGATCGAAAAACCGAGACGAACACGCGTATCGAATTCAATCGACGGAATACAATCGACCCAGGTAGAATTTTAAAATTGAATCGAGTCCGGTGTCGTATTTCCTTTTCTCTCTCTCTCTCTCTTCATTCTTTCTTTTTTGTAAAAACCACCGAACGAACGAAGGTTGCAAGGGAAATTTATACGGCCTCGCTATCAATGAATTATCACCGTGTTCAGGGGAAATACGAGGGTGGAGTTGGACATTGTGCAGAAGGGAAATAGAGGTAAACGCCATTGTTATTGTAAATTTGTTCACCCGCGGTACGGAGAGCAAAATCTCGCGGAAAATTTCGAGGAGAAGCGACGTTGCAACCGCGTTTCGCATTTCGATCGAATGAAATATTCGCATTAGCGATCAGTGACCAGCTACGCTTCGTTATTCGGGGTGTGCGCGCATTCTACTCGCCTGCTAGGTTTCCTGTGCGAACGGCGCGAGACACGCGGACGCGCGTGTATTCCACGCAGAGAGAAAAAGATGGGACGTGGTGGGACAGGAAGTTTAGAAGGGTGCATTAGGGAAATGTTTGTACGTGGAAATTCGAGCTGTCCGCCTAGTGCACGGTTTTTGATACCGGGCGATCGTTCGCGCATTCCGCAACCGGAATCCTGCTGGGCCTGGCTGACTGCTGGCTGCTCGGCAGTCGCAGTTGCGGTTGACGGCTCCACAATGCCAGCCAAATGCGGCGCACGTTGCAATCTCCACCGGGCTACCGGTGAATTTTAGTATCTGCTCAGTCGGCTGAATACGCGCGCGACTTGACGAAGGAAAGAGAGCCGCTCGATTTCGCAGAGATTGATCGCGGCCTCTGCCTCTTCCTCTAACGTACGTACGTAACGCACGTAACCCGTCTGCGCATGTAGGGAAAAACTCCGCCGAACCGGAACTTTGCTGCCCTTCTTCTTCATGTTTTCACTCTACAGAAATTGATTCTACGCTCGCGTGTAGGAAGTACTACGCGGCTTGGTCTACGCGTACAACGCCAAATTAAACCGTAACCGTGACTGACTCTACCAAGACGGATAAACCAACGTTTATTCTATCCCATCTGCTACGGTGTAACGGAATTTCTCATTCAATTTTCGAGATGACGTTCCCCTTCTGTCTGGAATATAATTTAAATACGTTGATTAAATTTTTCTACCATCGCAAGTTTACAGAACCTCCTTTCTAACCTGAGCACCTTAAACATCTCCCGTTGTTTTTGCAGACGTAAGAAAGCTTTGTTTACGAAAATTATTCAACACAATCCGCAACATGGCAATAAGTAATTTCTTGTAAGTGGAAGACTTGAGATGATCTTCATTTTTTTTTTTCTTAATAAAATCATGTGTCGAAAAATTATTTGTTAGGAAGATACCGTGACTCTTTATTTTGTAAAATCTAGGGAAATCCTTGTTTCTCGTGCAATAAATTTCAATCAAGTTTGTAGCCATGCGATCTTAACCCCGGAGAAACGACGGAGGCCCGATAAACTACGTTGGAAAATAAAAGGAACGCGAGTTTTTGTATCAAACGTGACACGAGGTTTATTAGAGTGACGTTAACTTATGGGCGACAGGCGCGCGCGATGCAACGCTCGACGTTTCATTAACGTTTTCAGGTCTGCGCTTCTAATCAATCGCGCCAATGCGCTCCTCTCTCCTCTTGCAACTCAACGATATGTACGTGCGGTGTAACGTGTAATGCGGTTTCGAGCTGCGCCTGTGGTTTCGGGTGTTGAACAACAAATCCGATGGGACTTGGAGAGTATTTCGAGTTTGGCTGACGCTTCTCTGCCTTCCGAGTTTGCCGAGAGTTTTATAATTAAACACTCGTAGTCCGTGGTCTTTCTTTGCTTTATCGTGATCGAGCTATCGCTGACCACCGTATTGTCCTCGTTGTTCAATGACACTTCGTCACTCGATCGTGCGACGTAGATTGAACAAGGATTAAATTACGAGCTATACTTTTAGGCTTGTCTGATCGCTGCTCTGAAGAAGCAAGGAAACAATATCCCATATCGGCGAGGAAGAAAAAAGAAGGAAGGAAGGAAGGAAGGAAGGAAGGAAGGAAGGAAGGAGCCTCCGAGTACACGAGGCATCGAGCGCGCTTAACTCCTTGGATATAATATAGTCGGCTTAATCTTTCGAAAGTTCAGATAATCTTGCAAAGAAATTTTCGATCGGCCGACGGTTCTTCTCGTCTTAGCCGAGCTGCCACCCCGCCGAAGACAAAGGCGGTCTCGTAAGAAAAAGAAGGAATTCCATTAACGACGTATTTCTTCTCTCATTGTTCCGCTTCTCGATTGCTTCGGACTCGCCGAGGTTTTAATTAAAAGTTTCTCATTACTCCCGTTGTTTGGAGGCAAACCCGTCGCTTTACGTTTCAGACAGTAACGAGCCCTGTTTACGATACTGTCTAACGGCTAAAGTAGTTTCTCCTAGAAATGTAGCGCGGAACAAAAATCCACATGCAGTTGAGACATCAACATTGGTCTGTGTCCTAATAATTACACGTTGTTTCCCACTATTCTTCCCGTTTCTCCCGTCATCGTAGCAAAATATACCTAAGCAGATTAAACAGCTTAAAAAAAGAAGAAGAAACATTACGTTGAAACGAAAGTATAGAACCAACACTCGCCACGTCGCTGAATAAAACTGAACATCGAAGCCAAAGTAGTTTCGTTTCGTTTAAAGTCTCAAAGTATTCCCTTTCCTGTTCTTCCCTTTTTGTATCATCCCCACTCGAAACTCTTGGCAGTGTTCCTTTATTTCCTTCTTCTTCCCGCGTTTTTCTTCCCTTCATTCAGTACGCTCATACTCGCTGACATATTCGATTTGCACGCAGACAGGTCGAGTTATCGTTCGCTTTTCCGTCGACTTGAATAGGAATGATATTGCGTTGAAGGGGAGCCCAGCCGTAGATTGGGTTCATTAGCGGGTGGACATCAATTTTTCCAGTAATCAGTAATAAAGCCTGGCTTTAAACGAACTGCCGGGTACGAATGGTGGAACTTGAGGGGAGAACGGTCGTCGGCCGGTCTGTTAAATGAAACAAAGCCGTTACAACGAATGGGTATTCACCCACGGTACGATTGGACGAGGCAGAGAG